GGAGCAGTCCTGGCTGGCTGGTGGCCCTGCAGCCCACAGCGGCTGGCACCCATCGCCCTCCCAGCAAACAGCACCAGGGAGCTGCTAGAAACAGCTTTTTTGCCAAACTAGTTTTAATTTGCATCAATCCCCTAATTTAATTCACAGAACAGCCACAATTCTGGCCCCACAAGAAAAGCTGTGGAGGAGGGGAGCTTAAAGGGGGCATGTAACTGGGGCCTTAATTACAACAGCACCATTTCAGGTGGGAACACTAAATCTTCCATAAAACAAACTGCATTACTGCATTTTTAATGAGAGTGGATAATTTCACTGGATTTCTCCTTTTCTCCCAAAAATATATGAGGCAAAATGGCAGAAATCTAAACCCTGACATCACTTAGTTTACCATTTTTACTACCCAAAAAGCGTCTCTACGAGCAAGCCATATGTTCTGGTCTGAGCTAAATAAAACTAATTTTCTATTTAGTGATTTTACTTTTCAGCTCAGTCTCTTTTTTAAGTGGCCGAACTTGCTGAAAACTAGCAGCATGGTTTTCAGTAAGTGCTGCTACAACGACAAGCTCAAGGCCAATTGCCTCACCATGGATGCCACATCTGTGCCTACAGGGGAGGAAGCAGACCCAAAACTGACCAACTAGGTATTCCATCCCACATACGTCATATTCAGTATAAAGCTGAGGGATCATGAGGGTCTGGACCCTTCTTCCATCTTGGAGCCTTTCTTCCATCTTGGACACTTCCATCCGTCTCGATCCTGCCATGGCTGAAGTCCGAGCAGACCCTGCTGGTTCTTCTGCCGCTGATCCTGATTCGTGAGTTCCTGCATCAGCTCCCACTGCTGCAGAGTCTGGACTGGAACTTTACCAGTGCCCTGCTCCGCAGAGCCTCTGGTGACGTATTCGTCATTGGGGGGAGGATTTTATATTGGTTTTGTATATATATTTATATGTATTTGTATGTATTTCATTATTTTCCTATTTACATTATTATCCTGTAGTATTAGTATTATTGTTTTATTAAATCTGTTAGTATTATTTTCCAACCTGTAAAGTCTCTCTCCCTTATTCTTTTTTCTCTTCCTTTCTGGAGGGCAGAGGGGGTAACAGAGAGCGCCTGGCCAGGATTTAGTGGCCAGCCCAGCCCTAAACCACAACATCATGTAATCTGCAAATTACGCAATTCAAAGGCACATCACTATGGCAAAATGGAAACATCTTGTACAACCTCATCTCATCAAGAGGCAACAGACAGATAGCAAGAACCAGGTGTGGGGAAAACAAAAATAAAACTTGAGTAACTGATTTGTAGCCCCAAATGACAGGACTCTACTCCTTTTTATTCTACTAACTACAAATTCTACCTATTATTTGTCTACAGGCTCTGAATCTGCACACCATGAACACTCAGGTTATTTCTGAAAAAGGACAGTAGAAGATAAAAGAAAATGCTTATGAGCTGCCATCAGAATGTTCTAAAAAATCTATTATCTGCAGAAACCTTCCCTTAGAAAGTATCTGGTACAGCTTCCCCAGCCAGAATTCAAACAGATTACCAGGAAGTATGGGTATTACATGGAATACAGGTGTTTTCTAGCCATATTGATACAAAGGAAACTGTTTAAGAAATTGTTTTCCACTGGATAGAAACCAGGCACCAGTCCACTCTGAGTGGGGCCTGCACAGCCCCACAGCACTACCTGTGCCATAGCTCCTTGAATGCAGGGATAGCTGAGCAAGATCTGCACCTAATGGAACTTCACAGACGAAGTAACAGAGTTATAAATTATGACAAAAAATAATGCTTCATCCCATGCCTGGTTAACTGAGTAGTCTGGAGCACTTCATGTCTGAATATTTCAGGCCTTTACTTGTTCCAGCATCTCTATTACTCAGTTGTTGCATCTTTGGCTTTTATTGTACCTCCTTTCATACTTCACTGCTTCAAAACACTGCTAATTTATTCTCTTATATCATAAAAAATCCTAACGTATTTTTCCAACTTACTTCAAAGCACTGTTTTCTATCAGCTGGTCTCATAGTGCTTATTTTCTCTACCTTTCTTCTTGCACCTGCTTCTTGAAACGTTTCTTCTCTCCCCTCCTCCCCTCAGTTCCCAAGAATACAGCCTCCTACTATTCAGCAGAAATGCGTTAAAAGGGGTATGTGGTGAGAGGGAGCTATGTGTGTTCAATTAAATCAGAATGATTCATAAATTAAGGCACTATTTTGGATCTCCTCTCTTCAGTAGCACAGACCCTCATACTGAGTTATACATCAAGAATAGGAAGTACATTTTTCTTCCTTGCTCTTTTCCTTCAGCCTCTGGGTAGTGTTAGAACCTTGTGGTCTCGGGGAATGAGAGCTAAGAAGTGTTACTGAGGTTTAGTAGATTCAGATTTAATTCAGGAAGTATCTGTTGTTCCCTCTGTATAAATAAAGCACAGGAAAATTATGCTTATATTCTCTCTTTAGAGGCAATGCTTCTCCCCAGGCAGCACAACAACCTGTCCAAAACGCCTGTAAGGAAAATCCACAGTAAAAGCGAGGATGTGGACACAGATGATTAATCCCTGCATAATTTTGTCTGCCTGCTCTGATTGTGCTTGACTCCTCCATCACTGTATAATTTTCAGACTTGCCTTCATAAGGCAAATCCCTATGACTTTTGTCTATGGCTCCCACATTTCTGCCTGGATGGACAGATGTCAAAGTCTGGTTCTCTGGCCAAAATTCCAGGAGCCAGACAGCCAAGGGGAAGAATCCTCAAATTTTAACGCTTAGACATTATTTCAGGGTGGAAAAATTAGATATTTCCAGTTTTTTCTGAATCCTTGGTAGTTCTATCTTTGGCTCCTTCAAATCATTATCATCCAAGCATTTTGAAGAGTATCTTCAACATAATGGCTCTAGAAAAGTCTTGCATGTTTCTGGCCTGTATCTTGCGTGTCCTGGGCTTTACAAAAGTAATAATTTACATGACATGACTTACACACTATTGGTAGTTATAATCCCTTTACAAGTGAAAATGTGACTTACAAAAGTGCAATCCTGCACTTACTCCAAACAAGTACAACGAGTACACCTGCAGACGAGGGCTGTGAACACCAACTTACAAATGCAATTCCAAGCTACCTTTTTCATATTACTGCTATTCCACTCTTGGAGCTCTCTTGAACATAGGCTGCTTTTCACTTAACTTGTTTTACTTTTGACATTAGGAAGGACACAAGCCTAGGTCTCCAGAAGTTGAAAGAACAGAGTGAAGTTCTCAGCCAAAATGTGTCACATACTGGCATGTGAATAAAACCAGATGACTCAACAGAAGACATTGCTTCATAGTTTAAGATATCTCACTTCTTGGCTAATGTAACTTTCAGTTGTTTCTTTTTAATCTGACATTATATGTATATATGCATACTCTTTTTGAAAACTATTTTAATAATTTATGAACTCCGTTGTATTCCAGGAAACCAGTTTCAATATAGTATTGGGTCTCTGTACATTTGAAATACATTCCAGATAGAACCACTACAGCCAATCTTTTCTTTACTGTTCAGTATTCAAACACTACTCACACCTACCAAGCTTGAAAAAGTCTTGACTTTGTTTCATTCCCAGTATAATTCATTGTGAAAGATCTGAGTACTTCAAGGTCTTTAACGATCAGCACTTATTATCTACTTGCTCCAAAGCTTTCCAAACACAGAATACAAATTTCAGATTAAAAGAAAGTCTTACAATTACTATTCTGTAAAACGAAATTACATTGACACATTCCCTAATGATTTAAAAACATTCTTTTATTACACACTGACAAACTGTTTTCTATACGTGCTTCCATTATATCTTCAACACTTGCCATATTCTTGGACATTTCAGCACACATACTTTTTATTTTGGAACAGCAGAGAATATTCTCATGTGTTTTGAGACAAAGCTTCACTAATTTATTCATTACTACATTTTTCTGGTTTTGGTAATGTTTTTTAATATAAATTTTGAGAATTTTAGGAGTTTTATATCAGGTTCGTTTATTGAAAAGTGTTTTTTCATGCTTGCCCTCCAGTCCTCAGACAGCAGACACATCTCACAGCAGCACATAACAGTGTCATTTTTTAGGAAAAAAGGCAAACACAATCTGTATCACAACTCATATCTGATACAATACTGCAGCTTCAGCAACATCAACATTATTACAAACCTAATTATAAAGAACCACAACTCCTCTATGTTACATTTTAGAGGCAGATAACTCCAGAGCCTTCACTGAGGGCAGCTGGTGCCATAAAGCACTCAGTGGTGGCAGCAGTCTACCTTTATGAGAACACTCATGGACAGTCCCCTACAACAGCAGAAATATTGAGATTTCTCAGCTATTGACTGCCACTGGCTGCTGCCCTTCACACAGAATCACAGAACGTTACGGATTGGAAGGGACCTCAAAAGCTCATCCAGTCCAATCCCCCTGCCGGAGCAGGAACACCCAGATGAGGTCACACAGGAAGGCGTCCAGGCGGGGTTTGAATGTCTGCAGAGAAGGAGACTCCATAACCTCTCTGGGCAGCCTGGTCCAGTGCTCTGTCACCCTCACTGAGAAGAGGTTTCTTCTCAAATTTAAGCGGAACCTCCTGTGTTCCAGTTTGTGTCCGTTACCCCTTGTCTTATCATTGTTTGTCACCGAGAAGAGCCTGGCTCCATCCTTGTGACACTCACCCTTTATATATTTATAAACATGAATGAGGTCTCCCCTCAGTCTCCTCTTCTGCAAACTAAAGAGACCCAGCTCCCTGAGCCGTTCCTCATAAGGGAGATGCTCCACTCCCTTGATCATCTTTGTAGCCCTACGCTGGACCAAATCTTGGCTCTCCAGCAGAGACTGGAGGGGCTCTGGTGGGTTCTCCAAAACCCTCTGCTAATCACGTCCAAGTCATAACAGAACACAGCATGCATAATCATACTGATGTTTATTATTCTATGCAAAAATAAAATTTATCTTACCAAAAGGAGGAGACTCTCTCCCATCTTCTAACCCTGAATCTCGCTCTCTGTCTCTCTTTCTGTGTTTATGTCCACGGTGCCTATGGCGTCGGTGACTTTTTCTTCCACCCAGTGGCACGTGAACTCCAATGAACAATGTTCGATGGCCTGTAGGTAAAAAAAGTTACCCTTTAAAAAGGGGCTGTGGCAATATAATGACAATATTAATAACCATAATGGCATTAAATGTATAATAATTATTATAACTGTGTAACTGTATAACATTGATTATTCTAATGTTTATAGTTTTAACACTATTGTTTACAACGAAGACGATGTAGCGTCACAGATACACAAACACTTGATACAGGACAAAATCCCAGTACTGAAGTCCTTATGATGCAGTGCCAGATCTATATTTTTTTCTTCAAATTTGCATCTCTATGTGTGAACTTTCATTAAAGCCAGACAGATGTTCAGTAAAATGTCTTCCAAAACAGTAACATGAAGAGACACATGGATCTCTTTGCATTGAACATTTGGTAAAGTTGCTGTTTCCTTTCTGTGTACAGGAACTTTACAAAACTCATTGCTATTTATGAGCCAAACCCTGACAGAATTCTTGTGGGAAATTCACTGAACGGGCGGGGGGGTAAGAGAGAGAGACCAAAAAAGACAAAAAACACTGTGGAAGCTAGACTGCAAAATCCCTCCACCACTTTATGTGCTTACATCATAAATACGTTGCTGGTAGCTTAGGGTGATTTCACTTCTTCTATTTTATTTTTTTAAATACATGAGAAGGTACACAGAGCCATGCCAGCCACCACCTTTGAGCCTTTGAGCCCAAGGAATTTTTCTGTTGCTGATCAAGTCCAAAAGATTTAGCTCTTAGCTATGTGGGCTTACAGGATCAGAGAACAGTAAGGCATTTAGAAGGGGGAGAGTACAGGGGAAATGTGCATAAAGTACCGCAAAACCGAACAAATGGGAAGGGAAACACGACTCACTGCAGACAGGTCACCTACATTGACTGAGCACAAAGACACAGCCCAGGTTACTCATCTCAAATAACATTTATTTTCTCCTTGAAATGAGCATAACACAGCTAGTGGATAATTGCTGCTTTGCTGTAATCATTCAGCAGCGTCAATCATCTGAAAAAGGTCAAGAACATTAAGCTAAGGTGGCACGTGATCTCTAATCCCATGGAGACTCCAGCGGGGGCAGAAAACACAGCAAGGCAGCATTTGTCACAATGCATCGAAGAAATTCAAGGCTGACAGGAATTCTCTGCAGAGGCAGGGCTAAAGAGGCTGGAGAAAAGAGAAAAGGCAGGACATCCTCCTAGTTACTTCCTCAACCTTCATTCACGTAAAGGAGACTAGAAAGCAGAGGCAACAATTTTTGGGAGATTATCCTTGCAGAGTCAAGAGATTTTTCTGAAGCAAAGGCCACAAGTTGAATTTTATTTTTTTTAATTTATTTTTAAGATACCTCTTTCTTCTTGCTTATTACATTTAACCCAAGAAACAATTTAAAGAGAATTGCTGCCTTTGGTGCATTTCAAATGTACTGCACTCAGTGGTGCACGAAACATGGAAAAACGCATTCCATAAAAGGAATTCATTAAAAAGATACTGCAGTACAGTGGTAATGTAGTACTCAACACTTATTTGTCCTCTTCCTTGGGTAGAAGAAAAAAAAACCAAAACAATGTCTTGAAAGGAATGGTGTTATCCTTCCTAAGACTTCAATCATTTCCAGAGGTGCAAAGAGATTGCTTTTTTAATTTAGCAATTTAATAGTCCTACTGCTTTGTGATAGAAGTGGGCATGCTTATCCTAGTTTTGTGCCACTTCAATGCTCAGGTTGTACCTGCATCAGGAGATGCAGATTCAGGTTCACACTTCAATTAATTTCCAGAGCTGAATCCAGGACTTGAGTCCAGACTGTTCTTTACTCAATAAACTGGGAAACGGGCCCTAAAATGCCACAACCTTCACGTGTGTGAATACCACAACAATTCTCCACAAGCAGACAGGACCAGTTCACACTGAAATAAAGCAGGAAACTGAAATGGATAACCAAGAAAAAGCAAAATGGATTTATTCCTTCTGTGTGAACTTACTGAGGCCAACAGAGTATTACCAAGGCATAATTTCAATAAATGTAGAGAGGAATCTAGGTCCTAGCAACAGGTTCAGGCAAATAAGAGGGGAAAAAAGAAATCGGCAGGGGAAAAAATTGTTTTCTCTGCAAAAATGACAGAGCAAAAAGGAAAGTAAAAAAATCTGAATAAAGAGTTAAGTTCTGGTTTATTAAAAGAGCACAATTGTGGAGCAAAAAACTATCAGCTGGGAACAAAAGAAAAAAAAAACCAGTTCTAAATTACTGGCAAAATAACAGTGAATGATAGAAGCAGGGGTAAAAAAAAAGAGATAAGACAAAAGAAATCCAATGAGTAAAATAACCTTACTCCAAGAACCCTTTGCTGGTAAAGATTATAATCAAGTGCCCAGAAAGTAAGGTACTTTTTTTCCTGTACATGTTGACTGAGACATTACCAAAGAAGAGTTGAGTTTCCAGTGAGCTTTGTGAATTTCCCAAGCCCAGAATGGCAACCAGGAGTCTCCTCTCAGTCTTCAGGACAGAGCAGGGCAGAAACCCCGCGCTTCCTCTGACAGACAATGTATTGCTGCCTTACTCTGGAGAGGAGCACCCACACCTGTTCCAATGAAGTTCCTCAACAGACTTCCCCCCCTCCAAAGACTTACATTATTTGAGCATGAAAATAATTTGAAGATGAGAATAAAAAATAACTCTGCTTAATAGAAAACTTCTAACATAAACACCAAAGTAACCTTTAAGCCACAATTCTAAAATAAGGAGTTCTCCAAAACAACGTTTTTCCAAACATTCTGTATTTCAAGAGGATCTAAAGAGGATTTTGTTTTATTCCCATTACCATAAGCAAGTCCCAAGAATCAGCTAGACTCTGTCATTTTAATGTTGTGCACAGAAGCAGTTATTAGAAGATTTCTGGCTGCACATAACACGACTACAGGCTGCAGACAGCTTCTGAACATCACCGACAGCAAGGCTAGAATTCCAGGTGACACCAATGGAAGCACGTTTCCTCCCCAAAAATGCAAAATTGGAGAAAGATTACTTTTTCTTAATAACAGATATCTTTATAACTTCAGCACCTCTATTTAGTGTAAGATCTTGATTATGTTATGTTATGTTTAAGTCATGTTACAATTTTAAAAATCAGAATTCATTTAGCTTTCAATAAGCCATAGGATCTATCTGGTCTTCCTAAGCTTTTTCAACTAACCTTACAGTGATATCAATAGAGTTTTATCATGGGAAGACTAAGGTTTTGTTCCTGCAAAAGCACATTCTTAACTACAATGTTGATTTATTGCAGATTTATGTGCCACTAGGAAGGCTAAACATAAGCACATGCATAAATATTTTCAGTATTAGGATTTAGAAGCGATTCATTTTTAAAAACTGAACCTCTGAGAAAATACATTAATATACAAAGATTATTTACAATCGGAAAGCTTATTAAAGAAATGCAATGCGCTGAATTGATCTGCTCTGCAATGTCACTTTTACACGATGCTGTTAGATTGGGTTTTCAAAAAGTCTGTTCTTAATCAAATTGCATATAGCTGGGGAACAAACCCTAGAATATGAAGTCAGTTCAAATCAATGCATTTAGAGTGTAAGAGGCTTTGGCCCCTTGTGGTTTACCTTCTAAGCATTAAAACACTCCTTAAATAAAAATATTTTAAGGATTAAAGAAATAATGACCCTTTTTATAAAGTGTTCTTTTTATTTTTTACAGGATTATGTTAATAAATCCAAATTATACTGTAAAATTTTCGAAAGAGATCCTGTTAGTTATATTTAATTTTCAGAGGAAAGTACATATCCACATATGTAAAAATCAAAATTTCCCCTAAACTTTTGACAAAAAAGTGTATTGTGCTATAAATATCTCCACTTTGTGAAGGTATGAATTCTTTGCCCTAGAAAAGACAGATATGAAATACACATTATTACCATCAACATATCTTGCAGAGACATTTCTCAGAATAAAATCCAACTGGAAGGGTTGTCTGCAGTTACTGTATTCCAAAGAAGAAATTCTTCCTTACACCCAGATTTTGTTTTAAGAACCCAATAGCAAACTAACCATCAAAACAGGCAAGCTCAGAAAAGCAAGCATTGTCTGTATAGCCCTTGAAAATGACAGATGTAACATCTAAAAATGGTTTTCAGAACCTGGCATTCTGGGTCTTTAAAACAGAAGCTAGTCCTAGCTAAATTAAATATATATAAACATGTAAATAATACACACATTATTAAGTAAATGGAAAAAAAATAAATGTAGTGGGATTTCTAAAGCTTTGAAAACATATATCCCATTATAACCTATGGCGCTTGACAACTGAACTTAGGAACTTCTGGAAATCCCATTGCAATTATCTGAATGAATGTGACGTTGCAAGGGAAAAAATGGAGATGGAGAAAAAGGAATTGTAAATGTTTCCCTTAATTTAGAGGAATTAAGATATTTTTAATGGAATGCTAAGAGTACAGATATTTTTGCCCCAGTGTCTCCCATTCTCCTTTGAAACACAATTTTAACAAAGAAAACACACACCCATTTGGTAGGAAGAACACACGTATGAAGCACGTTCACCTCCCACTTCCCCATCAGTAGAGGCTCCACAGCCCTTGATGTTCCACCATGGATGTGGGACTCAAGTGGGTGCTTTAAGAGCTCCTTAGTGAATCAGCCAAGTTGGTGCCTACTGCATAAAAAAAGGCCCGTCCTGGATCTGATCATCCATGAGCACACGAGACATCTGCCTGTGCTGCCTTCCACCTGGAATGATCCCAACCTGCCTCAGGCACCTGCTGAGACCAAGGTTTCAGATCCCTGCTCATAGGCACGGAGGATGGGGTCATATAAGGAAACAGATGGGTCTAGAAATACCTCCAGAAAGAGCAGAGGCAGGCTTCTGTGACCTACTAAGAAAACACACTACAAAGTCAAGATGCCTTGAGAGAGAATATTTTGCCAGTGGTTCAAGCCAAGCCTCAAATGTCTACAGACCTCAGCAGGACAGGAGGGGTTTCTCCCTCCT